ATCAATGTTTGAGCAAGGCTTGTTCTGGTTCAACCTGGAGTAACATATCACTATCTAGAAACTAGGAAGAGGAAGTGCGACAATTGGATGAGAAGTGACTTTTTTCAGCTGAGATATGTGGAAGACGTTATGGGTGTGAGCCGTGGTAGGAAGTTTCAAGCGGTAAGCCAAGGGGCCAATTTTCACAATCACCTTATTTGGGACTGAGTTTTTCGTTGGTTTTCTTGGCTAGGGATTTGAGACAATATGGTTGAAGTTTTAAGTAAACCAATTCTCTCTTATCTAACTGAACAACCCTTCTTTTTCCATCAGAATAAGCCTTCATAGCCTCTTAAGCCTTAGACAGATTTAGCTTGAGTTCATCTAGGTTGTGGTTCCTTTCCGTCATTTGTTCATCAATTGCCTTAACCATTGATGTATGCTCATAATACTTAAGAAGTGCCGGTGGATCTCTTCCGTATAATGCCCGAAAAGGAGTCATACCTAAAGATCGGTTGAAGGTCATATTAAACCAATATTCCGCCTAACTCAACCACTTAGGCCACTGTTTAGGCTGCTGCCCCACAATGCAATGTAAATACGTTTCAATGTACCGATTGACCACTTTGGATTGACCATCAGATTGAGGATGATACGTTGTACTCATGTCTAGCTTGGTGTCCGATTGTTTAAACATCTCCCCCAAAAAAAACTCATAAAGAGCCTGTCTCGATCCGAGACAATTGTCTTGGGAAAGCCATGTAATTTCACAATATTCTGAAGGAAGAGATTGGCTACCTCCTTGGCTATTTAAGGATGTTGAAGAGGAATGAAATGGTTGTATTTTGTTAATCGATCAACCACCATTAGTATTTTATCGACCTATTGAGTTTTAGGAAGGCCTACGATGAAGTCCACTGAGATGTCTTCCCACACTTGGGTTGGTACGGGTATGGGCTATAATAAACCGGCCGGTTGGAGGTTATCATATTTATTCTGTTGGCATATAGCGTAGTTGCGAACAAAATCCTGGACATCACCTTTCATACCCTCCCAATACACAACCTTAGACAATCTTTTGTAGGTTCTGAAAAACCCGGAATGACCCCCCATAGGAGATGAGTGAAATTGCCGAAGAAGAAGCTAAACTTGGGGGCTTGAACGAGGCAAAACTATTTGATCATCATAGAAAAATCGGTGTCCCACTAGGCGAAATTGTAGATGGCTTTAGGAATCCGCAATTAAATCCCGGCTGATTTTGCACAGTTTTTCGTCTTGCTAAATAGCTTCCTCCCATTCATTTCGGCTGCCAAAATAACAAGTAGAGATAGCGTTGCATTCTGCCCAATCTGCTCGTCTGGACAAGGCATCAGTTGCCTTGTTTTCTAAGTCCGGTTTGTACTGTATCTCAAAATCCAACCCTAAAAGCTTGATTATCCATTTCTGTTGATCCTCGCCATGTAACCTTTGATCATTCAAGTAACGAAGATTGCGTTGGTCAGTTCGAATGATGAAATGCCTTCTGAGAAGATAGTGTTTCCACTTCTGTACTACTAAAACAATTGCCATAAGCTCCCGTTCATAAACCGATTTGGCTTGTGATCTCACAAAAAGCCCTTGACTGATAAAAGCTAATGGCCTTCCCTCTTGCATTAAATTAGCCCCCAGTCCTAGGCCCGAAGCATTTATTTCAATGATAAAAGTTTTAGTAAAGTCAGGCATAGCAAGAACCGACAAAGTAGTCATTACCTTTTTAAGCTCATCGAATGTAGCTTGCAAAGACTTGGTCCAATTGAAGGAATTCTTGCAAAAGAGATTCGTGAGAGGTCTTGCCATAGAGTCGTACCCATTTACAAACTTCTGATAATACCTAGTTAACCTGAGCAAACCACGTAAAGCCTTGATATCTTTGGGTATTGGCCAAGCGAGAATGCACTCAATTTTAGCTGGATCGACTACGATGCCCATAGGTGAGATTATATGCTCCAAGTAATCCAACTATTTTTGAGCAAACTTACATTTTTTTTTGTCCACCACAATCTGGTGCTACTTTAGTGTCTGAAAAGTGATGCTCAAGTGGTCCAGGTGAGTTTCCATATCTGAACTATATAAATCAGAATGTTGTCAAAGAAAACCAGTAGAAACTGTCTCAGATGAGGTTTAAAAATGTCGTCTATAAGGGCTTGGAAGGTTGAGTGATCATTCGATAACCCGAAGGGCATCACAAGAAATTCGTAGTGGCCTTCGTGGGTGCGGAGCGCAGTCTTGTAGGTGTCATCTTCTCTTACCCAAATCTGGTGGTAGCTCGATTTGAGGTCGAGTTTAGTAAAAATTGAAGCTCCTCCTAATTCGTCGAACAATTCATCGATTGTCGGGACGGGAAATTTGTCGGGTATAGTAACCTTATTCAGAGCTCTGTAGTCAATGCAAAAACGCCACCCACCATTCTTCTTTCTCACCAGCAGTACAAGGCTAGAAAACAGGCTCTCACTTGGCTTAGTAATATTGGACACTGGCATGTCCCGCACAATATTCTCAATTTCATTCTTCAAAAAGTACGGATACCTGTATGGTCTAATGTTATGGCTACCTAGCTCAAGTTTGATTGCATCATGGATTCTAGCCGGAGGAAGTCCTGGTGGAGATTCAAACAGCCCCTCATGCTGCCGTAACAGTTCATTGATCCTCCCATCCTCACGTGACTCCCCTGGTGATTGCAATTGCATATTCTCGAACTCAATATAGTATCCTGGCCCCTTAGACTGTAGCATTTTCAACATTCCTTTGAGAGACAGCATGGTTTTGCACAAAGCCGGATCTCCCTAAAAAGTGACTGTCTCCCCTAAACAGCGAAATCTCATCATAAGTTTTTTCCAATCTATCGTGCAAACCATTCTCAAAATAACATTAGCACTACTCATCCCTAACTGGAAGAAGTTTTGAACGATGCTAATGCTCTACAGTGTCAAACACACATCCTTACACTCTCCCTAATATCTCACATTAAAACCATCCCCCACTCTCACCCCAAATGTCTTCGTCACCACTACTGGAATCTGTAGTTCCTCAAGTAGACCCCGATTTTGAAGTTGTGTGATGTGCCTCAATTTCAAAGTTCTTGGGACATTAATTCCAACTACAGAGTTGATCGACAACTAGGCTTCCTTGGGTACCTCTTCAACCATAATTTCTTCCTTCGTTTCATCATCCCCCCTGGTTTCGTCCTCATCGACTAACAAGACCTGAAATTGATGCCGCTGCATTTATGCCCTGGTAAGTATTTTGCGTCAAAGTGATAACACAACCCCTTCTCTCTTTTCCTTTGAATCTCGGCCACGGTTAATCTCTTGAACATAAATTCTCACCAAAATGTGCTGGTTCTATTTTTAATTGAAGGCGTTGACCTTGAGGTGGCGTAACTCTCCAAATAAGTTCTTCAAATTGGAGTGGAGTTGTGGGAAAGTGTATTAGCTTGGCTAATGGGTTTGGGTGGGTTAAATGGGTTATATGGTGAATGGGTTTTTAAATTGTCTTCAGGCCTGTATTGGTTGGAAGCAATTCTCGGCCTAGTTGTGATATTACCCATTTTCCTTAAGCAGCCCAATCTTGCGTGGGCTTCTTCTAAGGCTAAATTTCTTTCCTCAACACGTTGGGCTAATAATGTGACTTTGGTCAAGGAGTTGGGTTGGGTCAACAGGTTGGGTTGTTGCAATTTGCTCTCAGCCTGAATTTCAGGCTTTAACCCATTCAGAAATGCCGTCGTAAGAACATCTTCCCTTTCACCATTCGTTAATGCCACAATCTCCTCGAATCGCTGGTAGAAATCTAGCATTGTTCCTCCTTGTTTCGTCGACATCAACAGCTCCAAGGGACTAACCTCCTGTGTTATGCTAAATCTCTGTAACAACGCAACTTTGAATGTCGGCCAAGTTATCGCCGCTGTCCTTGATTCTATCCACTAGTACCAGTGGAGTGCTTTACTCTCCATGCAGAGAGCCGTCAATTGAACCTTGCTCTCATCAACAATCTGGTTGATTGCAGAATACGTTCCACACGAAAAATCCACCCGTATGGATCGTCACCGGAGAAGATTGGCAACTCAAGTTTCCGTCCACCCCAATCTTGCCGATGCCACCCTTCGCCATGGTTATTACCACAGTGCCCATGCGTTTCATTTTCCGGGTGAGGTTCCTCAGTACTCTGATTCCCAATGATAGATCCTGTTCCCAAATTATTTTCTTCCCCCGCCACTTTTGTCCGGCAAACCTCCTCCTCTTCATCTTTTTTCCACATCCAGTTTTGCATTTCTATTAACATCTCCCTCATTGCGTTTACGTTTTCTGTCACTCTAGACACATTCCTCTGAATAACCGTGACCTCCTTCTCAATTCCATCTATTCTGTTCTCTATCCTTGTATTAACCATGCCCCAACAACAACGGCTCTGATACCATTTGATGAATACCTATCCTAGAACTTCGAATCAAAGCACCAAATCCCAGCAATTCACCACAACACAACACAACCAAACCCCACACACAGAGCACAAACAAATAAACAGCAAATAGAACAAGAACAATCAGATTAGATTAATAGGAAAATATAGATGATAGTATTCATTGAATAAAACAGTAGAACCAACGGGTCTTCGAGGACCAGCACCTCCCAGGTAAGACTCACGCACAAAATCAGGATATCCCACTACTACTACTTTTCTCCCCTTTTATTCTGACATGAAGATTCTAACAAACAACTTGGCCACCTGTCCCAATACGATTTGCCCCTTTTTCCCATTGTCTTCCGCATATATCATCTAGAGATGCTAGGTCCTTCATTTTGCATGCTGTATTTTGAGATATTTAACTAGGCAGAGTTTGAAGCCATATGACTTTATTTCATTATGAAATTATTCTGAGATACCCCTATAAAATTTCAAAAAGATTTACTAAATTTGTTAATGATTTTTAACTACTGGGAACAAATCTGAAATGAGCAAATTGATCCATTAAGATTCTCAGTTTAATGGATACTTTTGTACATGAGAGGCCATTGTATGACCTACAATGTCAAAGTTACTTAAGTTGTTCCTGCAATTTTACAACTTGTGGCATTTTATTGTCTTGCAGAAAACTCAAGCTTGAGGAGAGTGTTTCTAACGTTTGGCCAGAATTTGGATCAAATGGAAAAGATCTCATAGAGGTGTAAATCTTATCCTATGACCTTTTAAAGATATCCTGTGTTAGCCTCGATTCTTATGTCAGTAATTCAATATTAATTGGTTTTCCATTTTAGGTCCATCATGTGCTTAACCATACAAGTGGTTTGCACAATGCTTTGGTTAAATTTACATCAGAAAATCCTACGAAAACTGCTGACTGGGACGACTGTCTAAGGCGGATTGCCGAGTCAGAACCTGAAACTGAACCAGGCCAACAGCAGGTCTATAACTATCTGTCTTTTGGCTGGCTGTGTGGTGGAATAATTGAGGTATTATAGCATATGCTAATGTTACTTTCAATTGAATATAAGTTGTCGATTATGGTTTGAGTATGAAGTTATATGAACCCTGAAGTCTAGAGATGATGAATATCTTGCTTATATGCATATGATGTTGTGTCTAGATGCCTTGTGCTCCTAGGTCTGCCAGTAGGAAAGATTGTGAGTTTGATCTTTTTGCTGGCCTTCAAAGTGATCAAAGAATTTTACTATATCCTCAACTTCTCCATGTAGTCACCTTTTTTTAATGATATGTTTGGATAAAACAGCATGCGTCTGGGAAGAAATTTCAAGAGATTCTTGAAGAGGCGTTCATTCGTCCACTAAATATTGAAGGCGAGCTATACGTTGGAATTCCGCCAGGTACTTATCAAACTTTACTTTTTAATTTTCTCATGTTACTTAGTACAGCAAATATGTATAGGTTGACATGAATATGCACACATAATAATATGTTATATTGAATTGAAGAGTCAAACTCTGTATTTTGCTATAACTATGAAACTGAAATAGCTGTCATCAATGGCAATACCATGCCTTTCAATGGCTACCCTCCAGGTGTGGAATCTCGACTTGCAAGTCTTGAAATAGATGAATATGATCTCAACAAGTACTCAAAGAGCATTTATCATCCTAACGTACCCTTCGACGTTGACAAAATTGCAGAGCTTATCACTGATGCGCCAGTTTTCTTTAACATGCTGAACACTCGTCGATCCATCTTACCTGCTACTAATGGACATTGCTCAGCCCGTGCAGTTGCACGCTACTATGCAGCCCTAGCGGACGGGGGAGTGATCCCACCCCCACATTCCTCACTATCCAAGCCCCCACTTGGTAGTCACACTCACATCCCCAAATTTCCTTCACAGGAGAAGTCAAAAAAGCCAAAAGGTAAGAAAAGTAGGGAGGTACCTACGGCTTCAAAGAAAAACACAAACAATAACGGAAAAGAGGCTAGTGGTGATGGTTACACTGTGCTCACAAATAATGATGGCAAGATCTTTAGGAACCCTAAAATCCATGATGCATTCTTGGGTGTTGGTGATTATGACAATTTGGCCTTGCCAAATGGGGAATTTGGACTGGGGTTTAAGAGGAGTGAAGCTGAGGATGGATCGCTTATTGGTTTTGGGCACTCAGGCGTGGGTGGATCAACAGGTTTCTGTGACATAAAAAACAGGTTTGCTATAGCGGTGTCATTGAACAAATTGTCATATGGTGCTGCAACTGCAAAAATCATTGACTTAGTTTGTTCAGAGCTAAATATCCCACTGCCGGTGAAGTTTTCATCTGTTAAGGACTCTGAAAAGCCTCTCATTCATTGAAAATTGTGTCTCAAACATTGCTTCCACAAAGGATGAATAAGTGAGTATTTCATAAAGTAATTATATTGAATGAAAAGATTATACTTGTTTGATGATATATTGATGTCAGGGCAACCCAACTGATGATTTCACCTTATAGAAAAGAAATTATATTTATCACTTACTTTTGAAATATACATAATATCATAACTTAATTATGTATATTATTTTTGAAAGATTAGACTTTTACTTACGGAATCTTCATAGTTTGAATTTTGAAAACAACTATAGAATAATATTTTATTAATTACAGAGTATAATAATAATAAAAAAAAAAAGTTACTGAAAGTTGATTTAAAAATATTATATTGAAGCATTGTTTTAAAAACCGAATCGGAGAGTAACCCGCTCTACTGGCCGGTTCACGGTTCAACCGTCGGTCGGATTGGTGATGTCATCACAATTATACAGAATATATAACCTCATTTAATTTAGGTGTTACCTCTTTTGGTTCTTATACAGAATTTATAACCTCATTTACTCTTTTGATAGAATAATATGTTTTCTTTGTTTCCTTGGGGAAAAAAAAAAAAGTTCAAGAAAGATTATTTGAAGAGTACATGTATTTTCCTTTGTGTTAATTAATTTGCAAGGATTTCAATTTTAAGCCCCAAAGCCCTTAGAGTTTGAATCATATTGGCTGTAAATACATAATATTAATCAAAAATAAAATTAGACAATTTTGAACTTAACTGAATTGTCATTTGAAGAGTACATGTTTTTTCTTTTGTGTCAATTAATTTACAAGGATTTCAATTTTAAGCCCCAAAGCCCTTAGAGTTCGAATCATATTGGCTGTAAATACAGAATATTAATCAAAAATAAAATTAGACAATTTTGAACTTAACTGAATTGTCATTCAGGCAAAAATATTTGTCAACTCATCAATTTCCAAGAAGTTGATTTTCTTTTCGTTTATAATAGCAATTAGATATAATATTTCAACAAAACTTAACTGGACAGTGGACATATAAGATACTAATCAAAATGAGATAAGAGAATTCAACTTTTATTGTAATTTCGTTTGAATAAAACATTAAAACTATCTGTCAACCCATCAATTTAGAGTAGGAAATTGATTTTCTTTTGGTTTATAGAGCTGAACTATCTGTTAACCTATCAATTTAGAGAATGATAAGCCACTCAGTAATAATTTCTTGAATCATCTGAATCAAGTCAAGTTGTATTCTTGCTATGTCATCATGCAACATACTGTCCTCATAACTCATAAGTCCTTATTCGGTTATTCCATCCACAAACATACAATAGAAGTAAAACATAAACATTCAGATTCAAGTAAGACGTGTTTATAACCTGGAAATACAAATACATAATCTGGAAATACATGCACATACAATAAGTACTTAGCAACAAACATACCACAAAATCAGTTGATAGTTGTACATAAAATAACTCAGTAAAGTTTGCAACGAAATCATTATTGAAGCTGGATCGAGGAATGGTGTGTTTATAACCTAGATCGAGGAACGGAGCTGTCGTCAACGAATGGAGCTGTCGCCGTCGATTTCCAGCAAGGAACGGAGCTTTTGTCGTCGATTTCTAGCGAGGGAGGAAGACGTCGTCGATTTCCGGCAAGGGAGGAAGACGTCGTCGTCGATTTCAAAGAGTTCAGTTGTGATTTCAAGCTTCGGTGAGTGGAGTTGATTGCGATTTGAATGGGATTTCAGTTTAGAGAGAAATTTTCGTAGAGAACAGAGAAGAAACTGAGAAATTTTCGCAGAAAAGAGAAGAAGCCCATAAATTTTCAAAGAGAATTAGAGAAACCGAGACTGAGAAGAAGATGAGAAACAGAGAGGGCCGCGATGCGATTGCTTATTAGGGATTTTAAAATTTCGACCGGTTTTTTCGCCGGTCCGATTGGACCGGTGGTTCGCTGATTTTATCCGGTTTTCAAGCGGTTTAATGCGGTTCAATATATTATAGCGGTTTTGGGGGTGACTCGAACCGGACACGTGACCAGTTCTCTGTCCAACTGGTTGGACCGGCCGGTCTGGTTCGGCTTTTAAAACAATGTATTGAAGGTGAAGAAAGTGTTATTAAATAGTTTATCAGCAATGTGTATAGGTTTCTCAAAGTTCAGTTATTTACTATAGATGGTTTAAGTGCAATACTCAGTTATTTAATAACAATTTGTTATGATATTAGGCCCATATTGTTATTCACCCCAATGAGTAATGCTAGTCTTACTCACTCCCCCTACTCACTTCTCTTACTCACCTTTGTTAAAAAAATGAAAAAGTGTTTAACAAAAGTGATTAAGAGAAGTGAGTAGAGGGAGTGAGTAAGGCTAGCATTATTCCACCCAAATATATAACATTGAATGAATTTATGTGGGTCTCCAAAATCTTATTTATTTATTAATAATAATAAGAGTGTTATTTAAGCCCCACAATACAACAGCCAAATCTTCCTTTATGTTCTATATTTAATTACTAAAGCCCATAGACCATAGCTATGGCTCGTTCTCTGCATGGTGCATATCAAATGAACTCTAAATAATTATACCCAAAATCAGAAAAACCATGTTCTTCGTTCAAAAAGTTCATACTCGAAAACAGTAGAGTATTCCAATTTCATATCAGGGAAATTTACTTAACCCTTTTTTAATAGTCAAGTTGAAAAATAATTAAACTTTTAAATGGTTTTGCAAGCAAGACCTCTCATAAGATTTTCAAACAGTACTTCTATTGCTTATCTTTCACACTTAATCACATTAATATCATTCCTTTTATGAAAATGCAAAAAAACTTTTCATTTAAGATTGAAATGTAGAATATTCTAGTTTTTTAATTGATTTTTTTTGGAAAAAGTATAGTGTTAAAAGATATATGAAATCTTGAAAATATGTTTAGTGTAAAAAAAAAAAAAAAAAAAAAAAAAATAGAATTATGCTAATTCAAATTGGCTTGAGAATTCACTTTTTCGGGAAACTTTTAAACAAACTCGAGTGACTGGACTCGAGCAAGATTAAACTTGCTTGAGTGAGGTATAATGATTTTAACTTTGCTCGACTAGAGTTTTTTTTTTGATATTTTATGAACATAGTAGATATCAATATGACCCATCTAAAATATTAAAAAGGTCCATTCGAGCAAAGTTAATATCATGATACTCCTATCATTATTGGACTTAACTGTCTCGAGTGATTCAAATTTTTCTCTGGGGAGCTAAATTTTATTGTTAAATATACCCAAAAAAAAAACTGGTTATCTATCTTGATGATAAATTGTAATAATAAAAAATTTATTATTTAATGTAATAAATGTCATCATTCAAAATGTATATTTCATTTTGAAAAGGAAGATCACAGAAGAAAAAGTAGTTATATGAGAAATATAAATTTTTTTTAATTAAAAAATTAAGGAAATTTGAAAAAAGAAATATGTTTAAACAAGAGAAAAACAATTATATATGGCGAATTTTGATAATAATGTCTCTATATGTTTTTCTTTTGTTTTCATGGATTGTGATTTTGAGAATTATTTATGTTTGAAGAAAAATGATAGGATATTATCAATTTAGGTACAATATTTTATCGAAATGCTAAAAAATGAAAAGAAGTTTCAAATTGATCAATTTAGGAACACTTAATATAAGAGTCTGTTAAACTTAACAAAAAAGGGGTAAATTCTTAACTAAATATTCTAAAAGTGATTTGCTAAATATTTAAAAAAAAAAAAAAAGAAAGGTTTAACTTAAAAAGAAATAACCAAGAATTAGAAAATGACATGTGGGTTAAAGAATAGTTTATTTAGTACAACATAAATATCTAACATAATAGGGGGAAGGAAAAGGAGAAGTCATTTCTTTCGTCTTCCTCCTTACCTTACACAGCAAAAAACACTCAGGTTATCTTTAAAGGGGGAAAAAAATTCAAATATTTTAATGTTTTGTTAGAGTAGAAAACAAAAGAATAGTAGAAAACAAGAGATGTTAAGGAGAAAACTTTAATATTTTTTTTCACAATTGGTAGGCATAAATAGCCAATATACAAACCTTAGATCCTAAAGTTTGGGATCTAGAATAATATAGTTGCAATTATCTAGATACAAAATACAAAACAAATAATTACAAGAATACTAGTCTACCTTATACAGCTATTAAAGATACAATATGAGAAAAACTAGAGTCTTGATTTCTCAACACTCCCCCTCAAGTTGGTGCATAGATGTCACTCATGTCCAACTTGTCGAGACAACCATTAAACATTTGGGTTGACATAGCCTTGGTGAGTATATTAGCAAGTTGGTCTCGAACAAGAGGCACTTCCATGAGCTTTGCTTCCAATTTCTCTTTAATAAAGTGTCTATCGACCTCAACATGCTTAGTTCGATCATGTTAAACTAGATTATGGGCATTATCACATGCTGACTTATTATCACAATACAATATCATAGGATTGGCTTGCTCAACATGTAATTCCTGCATTAGATTTCTGATGCATAGTATTTGCATACTGCCTTAGCCATTCCTCTATATTCGACCTCAATATTGGATCTAGCTACTATCTCTTGTTTCATACTTCGCCAAGTAACTAGGGTCCCTCTTACAAATGTGAAATAACTATATGTAAAATGTCTATCATCAATCGACCTAGCCCAATTAACATCGGTATAACCTTCAATCTTCAAGCTGTCTCCTTGTGTAAACATGATTCCTTTTCCAGGAGACGACTTCAAGTAGCACAGGATATGAGTGACAACATTCATATGTTCTTCGCTTGGGGAGTGCATGAATTGACAAACAACACTTAGCACATAAGCCAAATTAGTTCTAGTATGTGCAAGATACATTAGTCTCCTTACTAGTCTCTAATAACGTTCCTTGTTAATAGGAATTTCGTTTGGATACACACCTAGTTTCGGATTTTCTTCCATAGGAGTGCTAATCGATTTGTGAGCTGACAGACCAGTTTCATTCAACAAATCTAAGGTATATTT